CTTTCCCCGCAGACCCGGCGGCCAGAGGCTCTGCGGGAAGGAAGCTTTGGGCGCGGGCCGCCTTGGCCTCCCCGGCGGTGCGTGGAGGGCTTCCCCGGGTTGCGAGAGGCGCTCCTGGCCTTCTTTTGCTGGGGTTCGCTTGGGAGGAGTCGCGGCGCCTCCCAAAGCGCCTGGGAAACTCTGCCGGCACGTGGAGAGCAAAGGGAGGCGCAATCCTAACACCCGAGGAGCCAGATCCCTTCCCAGCCGGGATCCGGTTTCTAGGGCGAGGTGGAGGAGCCTGTCTTGGCATCCAAGCGGATCCTGCCGGTTTTTGTGAAGAGTCCTGCCTATATCCGCCCCCGTAAATAAAGCAAGTGAAGCCGCTTTGGAGAAGGTGGCCTTTCTCTGCTGCCGGGCGGGTGACCCGAAAGGACCCGGCGTGCCAAACTGAGCCCTGCCCGCCCAGAGCCTCCTGAACGTGGCGGCTGCGGGGAAGCCGGCGCCGGCCTTCTCTAAACCGCCCCCCCCTTCTGATCGGCTGGACTCCATTTCCCCCGGGGCAATGGGAGTTGTAGTGAAGGGCATCTCCTGGGTAGGGCTGTTCTGTCCCCTGCCAGTTTTCTCGTGACTTGCCTCTTTCTAACTTTCCTTCCGCTGTGAAGAAAGGAAGCTCCTTCAGGAGCCCAGAAGTCACGCTTGGCTTCGCCTGCGGGGGCGAGGAGGCCGCTTCTCCCAGCGCAAACGTGCCCAACCTTCAGAAGGGAGCTTTTTGACCGGTAGTCGGCTGGGTCCCCGGCCACCCAGGAGAAAGGAAGGGACAAAACATACTGGGACCTTCCCTTTTGGGGGGGAAAATGTCTCCATCAGATCCACCCTTGAGCATCCTGAGCGGTGATGGCTGATGGCCATGCAGGTGAGGAACCAGCCTGAGAGGAGCCTGGAAGAGAGAGGAGGAACCGTGGAGGTGCCTTAGCTAGCCGATCCTGGACTCACTCCCAGGGCTGTTACGCCCTTGCTTCCTCAATCCCTTTGTGCCTCCTGGCTTCTTTCGGTTCCAGATCCTTAGCCCTTTGTGGATTCACACCAGCCGCTTTTAAGGGGGAGCTACAGGTCCTGCACCTGGCACCTCACTCCTGATCCAGCCTGGCCTCCTGGCCCCGGTTGGCTTCTGAACATCCTCTTAGAACGGCAGAGCCGGAAGGGATCCCACGGATCGTCGAATCCAGCTCTGGTCAGGGAGGCCCAGTCGGGAACCGAACGCCCAACCTCTGGCTCTGGAGCCAGAGACCTAAACCCCGGAGTGATCCAGCTGCTCTCCACAGTTTGCAGTTGTCATACAAACACAAGCAAACAGACAACCCTGGAGGTGGTGGTAGATAACCATGGAGGAAGAAGGAACCAGCCAGTCTGGTTTCGGGGCCACATCATGGAACTGGGGGGGATCCCGACTCTACTTTTAGCTCAGAATGAAGGCGACCCATTTAAGGATGTTTCTTTAAAACCTACAGGCTAACACAACATCTGCTTTGTTCCTGCTCTCGCTTTCCAAATGCTGGAGTCAAGTGTCAGGGGCAGCCCTTCCCACAGGTGGGCGCTTTGGGCAGGATGCCAGTCGGATCCGTTGCTCCTCCCCAGCCCGCCTTGTTTCGCCTTGTGCAACCCTGGCAGGGCGCTGGACCTGGATTGCTGCCGAGGGAGCAAACCTGTTGGGTAAAGGTTTTCTATGGCTTGGGATGGGCCTGGGGCCCAAGAAGTGTTTGTAGGATTGCCTCCTTAACCTTCCGTACCGTTCGCAGTTGTGGGACAGGGAAGGTTGGCAAAGAGCCAGGGTGATGCCTGACCACGTGTTTTGAAATGCTCTCTCCCTGAGGGAGACCATTTCATGTGGCCACCCTCATCTTTGCTGACCTTTGCAAGAACCGCCTTTCCTGCTCTTCCCCTCTCCTCCTCCTCTCTTCCCCGATGGGCAAAATGGGTCGTCAGATCCATAGGCCCCTCTGGAAGCAGTAGTTTGACGACAGGCTGGGTGTGGATTTGCAGAAGGAGCCCCCCAGGGAAACAAACAGAGCCCCTTTTCCTTTGCCACCAAGTCAAAAGCAAATAGCAGTGACCTCATGAGCTGGCTGGATCGCTCAGGTCTCTGGCAGTGGAGCCAGAGGCTGGGCATTTGAGTCTCTCGGGAGAAGGGTCTCCTCCCGGAAGGTTCAAACCCCCAAGCCTGTGTGGTCTTGGGCTGAGCTGCACAGAGGAAAAGAAAGATACACCACATCTGAGTACGCTTCTCTGGGGAAACCCTGGAAAGAGCCCCCTACGTCAGAATTGACTTGACAGCATATGGTTATTATTTATTAATGGGGCTTTCGAGGAAAGTGAGATATTTAAGGGATGGTTTGAGGAGTTCCACCCCCATGAGTGCCCACGGTTGAACGGGGATTCGAACCCAGGCCTCCTGCGTCCTAGTCCGTCACTCTGTTTACTACCTGCCACACCAAACTCTTCCTTTATCTCCCTACATCCTGTCCTTTGATGAGGCTTCCTCCTAGCATCCAGAACCAGAGGAGAAAGTGACCGGTAGCCGGTGGGACATTGCCAGCTTTTGATCCTAGAGGTGGAGATTTGTTTGGGAACTCCGTCCGTCCGTCCGTCCAAAAAATGTACACCCTGCCTTTCTCCCTAAAAGGACCAAAGGCAGTTTATATCACTAAAAGGATAATGTTTAAAAGCGAAAAACAGGAAGAATACAAATATTTAAAAAGTATCATATTAAAAATGTTAAAGAAGAATCAATACTAAAAACAAATGTTTAACTAGCTGCCCTCAAGTTATAGCCAGACCTGAACGGGGAGGGGGGGAGGGGTTCTACAACATGAAAGCGCGTCTCCACCCCCACCTGGTTTGGCTTCTTCCAACGCCTGGCAGGTCCTCCCAAACAGGCCGACCCCGGGTTTTCCAGTATTGGTTTAATCTGTTTGTTCGAAAGGGAAGGAGCCTCCTTGGCCAAACCGTATTTTCCAGGGCGAGCGTCCTAAACAGTCCAACTGGTGCTGCGGATAAGAGCCAGTTTGACGAGTCTGGCTCCCTCTGTAAGATCCAGGAGGGAAGGAAGATTCCCCACCCGTTCCCTCCAAGAGCTTCACCCTGTTGCTTTTTTTTAAACCTGCCTTCCCTGGAACTGCCCCTAGGGTTTCTGGGAAGTGTAGTCCAAAGTGTAACTCTTCCAGGCTCTGAAAAGAAATGATGTCCAAGCTCTTTTCTTAACAGCACAGGAAGTAACTTTCCCAGTGCTTTTGTTCCAAAAAAATTCCAAGGGCCAGGCTCTCTTTTAAGAACTCCCTGGACTAAACGCATCTGCTCATTTTTTGGCTTGCTTTCCATTGCCCTCTTCCTCACAGCAGTGCACTTGTCGTCCTCTGTGACCAGGCAAGGTGGTTTTTCTGATCTGAGGATGTTGTGCAAATTAAGCCAGTCTGGTTGATCCCGGAGATGGCAACGCATATTCTTTTGCATACCTCTATTCTGCTTCTGGTAGTCGGAGAGCAGCAGGGGTGGTTGAGCAGGCCCTTCAGCCGAGCTGCTTGCTGCCATTAGAAGCAAAACATTCTAGGGAAGGAGTAGGACTAATTTCAGAATGAGATGCTCGCCCTCTGGATTTATTTATTTTTCCCCAGCACTGCTCTGGAATGTGTAACCAGTGTGTCTTTCCACTGTGCTGACAGAGGGAAATGAAATAGCAAGCATGCTCTCTTTTATTCTCGCTCGGGTTTTGAAACTGTAAGCTGTTCCGATTGGAGAGGTTCTGGACAACTGGGCGGAGGACTAAATGCTCCCAAAACCGGGAGACAAAGCATAGAAGCTTTCGGTAAGGTGCCCATTTGAAGAGTCTTAAAGGGTAGAACGGAGAAGGATTGCCTTTCTCAACTAGGGAGTGGCCAGCTTTCGTTGGGAGCTTCTTGTCTTGGCAAAGGACAGGGGACTCCACAGAGGCTGGGAAGGTAAAATTATGGGTGGCATGGAAAGATATTTTGCCACTCAAACTGATCTGAAAAGCACAAAGGGAGACCAGTCCCAGCCTGGCCATCTTCTTGGTTAGCTGCCGCTGATGGTACCCCTTTAATGTGGCATTCCTCACCACCACCTGTGTTAGCTCCTGGAAAGGTTAGATGGGCCCTGCTGGTTAAAGCACACGTCTGCCCACATTTCTCCTGCCAGGCTGAACACAGCGGGAGGTGGCCTTCCGAGCAAGATTCAGTCTTGCTGCCACCAAACAGGAACCAGCCCTTCACGGACAGCTGCTGACCTGGATTTTCCAAGTGGGATGGTTGGGAGAGACCAGAGGACATAGGAAGCCTTTGATGTTATGTGTTCCATCGCTATATGGGATAGCCTCTCAAAGCCCCATGCAAAAAGAAAGGGAAAATACAACCAGGTGGCCTTCCCGGGGTGCCCAAAAGTGGTATGGATCATTTCCATAAGCGGCAAGGCAGAGAAACCAAGCATAAACATTTGTGTTTCTATTGATAGAGCTCTTTAGCATACTTTAAAATATAGGTTCTTTGTGGAACAAGCCTTTTTTTAGAAGGTAGAATTAATCAGAGTGGAAGATATTAGCCAGCCCTAATCTTAAATCTTGCTGGTTGAGAAAGGGGTCCAGCAGAAGCCTCACTAGACCAGCAGAACTTGAGATAACGCTTGAGTTTCTAATCCTTTGTTTGTGGACAAATGCTGAGACAGAAAGAGAGCGATATGGAGGCCACCTCGGGCCCCCGAGAACAGCTTTGCTGCTTTCTGTCCCGTTACTTGTTTGTCTCTTTCCATCTTCTCCTGCAAACTCCGGATCATTTCCATAAGCGGCAAGGCAGAGAAACCAAGCATAAACATTTGTGTTTCTATTGATAGAGCTCTTTAGCATACTTTAAAATATAGGTTCTTTGTGGAACAAGCCTTTTTTTTCTTTCTTTTTTCTTTTTCTTTCTTTTTCTTTCTTTTCTTTTCTTTTCTTTTCTTTTTTTTTGAGGTAGAATTAATCAGAGTGGAAGATATTAGCCAGCCCTAATCTTAAATCTTGCTGGTTGAGAAAGGGGTCCAGCAGAAGCCTCACTAGACCAGCAGAGCTTGAGATAACGCTTGAGTTTCTAATCCTTTGTTTGTGGACAAATGCTGAGACAGAAAGAGAGGTAGAATTAATCAGAGTGGAAGATATTAGCCAGCCCTAATCTTAAATCTTGCTGGTTGAGAAAGGGGTCCAGCAGAAGCCTCACTAGACCAGCAGAGCTTGAGATAACGCTTGAGTTTCTAATCCTTTGTTTGTGGACAAATGCTGAGAGAGAGAGAAAGACAGCGATATGGAGGCCACCTCGGGCCCCCGAGAACAGCTTTGCTGCTTTCTGTCCCGTTACTTGTTTGTCTCTTTCCATCTTCTCCTGCAAACTCCACCCATCCTGGCCTGAAAATGAGAAATTCTGCATTAAAAACCTGTTTGACTCAGCCACGTTTGAACAAACTGGTCACCGCTGTACCTCAGATGCTAATGATAGATCTGAACCACACCCTTCTTGAGGAGAACATGGAGCAAGTTCTGGGGAAGGCCTGCCGTACGTGGAAATTTACCCAACCAAAGGTTTAGCTGCCAAGATGAGTAAAATGCTTGCAGAGTCAAGAGTTTGAGTGCTGAATCTGGAAGCTGGCGTTCATGTTTGCTTCCTCTGCCACTGGTGCAGGATTCATCAGGCACTTTACTTGGTCCTTTCTTTAAATGGACCGCCTTCTGGTCCTGGGGATGGGCTGTGGATCTTGGCTTGAGAGAAGGTGTGGATGTTGCAGGAACCTGGACCTCAGCTGTTGGCTTTTGCGTCTGGAAACACACGGGCCATTTAGAAGATGTGTTGAAAGGCTGCATGTTTAAGTCCCGTAAAGGTTTACCAACTGGCCCTTCTCAGAATCTTTGCTGAGGCAGTGCTCACAGGGGAGGGGGTATTTCCATGTTGAAAATCCCAAAGCCACAGAAATCTGACTGGCGGTCTGCTGGTGGCCCCCAGCCCTGTTTCTTCCCTGTTAGAAATCCGAGGTGGAGGCAAGAAGTGATTGAGGCAACCATCTTTGTCACCAAGCCCATCCTGTTCATATTTAAAGGAGAACAGCCTGGTGGGTTGATATTATTTTTATATCAAATTGCGCACACAGGTGAGGAAACCTCTTCCAAGGGTGGTCTTCTGCCATTTCCTTTCAAACCTGCTCTGGCATCCAGGTTGGGGAGAACTGGGAGAATTTTCACGACGTGAGAGGGTAGTACAGGGTGCTGGGAAGGGCGGTCAATTTTGCTCACCTTTGTGCCTAAGCTTTTTTTATTTTTATGGTAAACTTTAAAAAAACACCTTCCCACTTTGAGGCATGAACAGAGTTCTTTGCTTCTTCTGAGAAGTGCTTTCCTTTCAGGTTGCATATTCAACTGGGGGGAAACTGTGTGGTCTAGTAATTATATTGTTTGCACTGTTTATATAACAGAACATTCCTGGTTAAAAAAAATGGTAAACTATAAGCAGCAATAAAATACAAGGTAAAATCTGAAAACAGATTTTACCGGCAACGGTAAGAAAATAGAGGTGAATAAAAATGAGTACAGTAGATGTACTCATGTGCTATTTTATGGGTCCAACTTCCTCAGCAGGAACCATAAAACAGCAACCCCACTGCTTCCTGATTTACATCTAAGAGCAATTTTCGTGGCAAAATCCACCTTGTCATGAATGTTTGGCCTTTTTTAGTGCTCCACATTGGTACAAAGCTAGTGAGGTGTTTTAATCAACGAAAGCTTGTGGATTGTATGATGATTTTTCACTGTAGTCTATAAAAATACTGTCCATTTTTACAAATGGGCTAGAAAGCTTTCCTGTTTTAAAATGAAAAAATCCAGGGTACGTAGACCAGTCTTTACCTCGTGACTGAATGTGGATGTCCAAGGGCCCTCTTGAGGACGGGAAGACCTTTTATTCCCCCCCTAAATATGGCCCTGCTTATTGGGTGGAGTATCTTGGAAAGGGTATCCAAAGATACTCTAAGGATCTCAGTAGATAAATGCGAGAGGCGGCGATCCTTCCGACAACACTGGACTAAAGTTTTTAGAACTTAAAAAAATGAATGCCAGCATTTTAAATTGGACACATGGGTGCACAGATGACAAAGCCTGTGTTCTTGGAGTTGATGATTCTCAGAACGTTATCAATAAAGTTTACCTTTTGACTAGACATATTATGCTAAGGAACAGCATTAATGCCGTCGTAAACCCAGCAGCACCCTATAAAAAGTTGTTTCCAAACAGGCTTGCAAATGTTAATGTTTAATAAAGGTTTTGGTTCCCTGACATTGAAGAACCATTTATTTATTTGATTTGTATACTGCCCATTTGGCAGCCAGGGCCACCAGGACTGATACTGCCCTTAGTACTTGTCTGTTTCTGTTGGTGTGCACAAGTCTTCCTTCGGTAGAGGATGAGGAGGAGGAAAGGATCTCTCTCTCCCACCCTCCCCATCAAGTGTGAGGATTCAGCAGAAGGAAGGGGAAAAGGAACATACAGTGCCAGGGAGGCTGCTCAGCCAGATTCATTCTGACAGAGGCTCAAGGGTTACATCAAAAGGGTTTATCTGGACAGGTGGTTTTCAAAGCAGCCTTTCCGTGCTTCTGGTAAATCAGAAGCCCCTGCTCCTTGTTTCCTGTCCTCCTGATCTGACCAAAAAGGCAAACAGCAGGGGAATTAGGACAAGCACATTTCAAATGGCCAGACTTTGCATACAGCCAACCCAAATGTTCAATTTGCCTCTTGTTTGTTCAAGAAGACGGTTAAAGGACCAAACGGAGACACATGAGATATATTTTTGCATTTTGCAAGTTTTAGTAAACATGCTCAAATTACGGCCGTTCTATAGCCTCTGTGATGCTGTTGTCACGGCCCTCAGTGGGTGCAAATTTCTGCTGCTTCTTTAGAGTTAAGGCACAACTGATACACCTGTCTTGATCATCCCAAGAATTCCAGTGAAGACTTTGGGAGCCCACTAGAAATCCACTCATGCCTAGCACTGGTCTGCCTTCCCTGGATTGTTCAAGAAGCCCTACCTCACACTTGTCTCATGCAGATTTATTAATTTTTGAATGACAAAACGATCGCCGGCCCAAATGGCCGGCTACCACACTTTGATGGCACATCTGCCACTCTGATCTGGCGCACATCCATTGGCCTGAGACAACTTGAAGGGCAGAGTGACACGAAAATGCCCCAGGCCACCAAAATTTCATTATTTTGCTACATACAAAATGTAGTTTGGCAAGTAAATACGCCAAACAAGGAAATACACCTAGCTTTCCAGCCAAGATTTTCTCCTTAAACAGCTTACAACCACAGCGTCCATAAATCCACAATTGCAATAGACACAGCGGCTGAAATAGGGGATTTAGTGAGTCAGCTCCTCTGCAAGCTCCATTGATTCAAAGATCTTACTCTAGTTGCAACGTACTACTGGATTTTAGCAGGTATGTGTGTCGTGTACAGCACTGGATGTTCGGTTGATTGAAGAAAGAACGCCAGTTGCCCTTGTGTGCAATTCACATTTATCTCTATTTAACAACTGTGTTTGTTGTGTTTGTTGTGTTTGGTGCCCTGCTGCAGTTGCAGGCCCTTTCCCTTCCATAGCTAAGAACGCATATCCTTTCCTAGAGATTTTAACTCCCTGGGGTAGGAACGCTCTCTCCCCAGCCACCCTCCTGCTCTCTCCGCTCCCTGAGCGGCTGGTCCTGTATGGCTTCCCAAGCCGTTCCAGGTGACTGAGCCGTTCTTCCTTCCTTGTAAAGATGCCCATTATTTGAACTCTATTAAATATTATCTAAAACGCTTCCTTTCTTCCTCTTTCGATTGCAGGGAGGTATCTGCGTTGGAAATTTGACACCAGGGAGAAGTGCCCAGGGGTCCGTTGTCATGGTGAGTGCAAAGCAGGTGCCATGCCGTGCCGGGTTCCCGGGGAGCCTGACCAACGGGGTCAATGGGCAGGGATGTTGACTTGGGCAAATAAAACAAGCAGGAAGAGTTCCTCATATCAGAGTGAATGTGATCTGATCCTGAGATAGGGAAGGGAGGCTTGACTTTGTTCTGACAGAAATGGCACTTGGGGGCCAGTGCCAAAAAGAAAGTCCTGTGTTCTAGTCTGCCTTCTCTTGCATGGTGCAATTCTTCCTCCCTAACAGCCCAGACAGCCGAGAGGGAGCCTCGCTTCCTTGGCTCCTTCCTGAATTTCTTTAAGTGCCACTACGACAGAATCAGAATCCCCCTGGGGTCCTTTTGAAACCACCTCATGCAAAACAGGACCATCCATTCACAGAGTCCAGTGTTGTCTTCTTTGACTTAGCAGGGACCGCCTCGCAATTTCAAGCATAGCTCTCTGACAGCTAGCTGTGCTTTCTGAGATCTTTCTTCCCCTGGAGGTTGAATTACAAACCTGTGTAGGCAAAGAGTTTCGCTCCAGATTCGGTGAAACTTAAGTTCCCAAAGACAATGAGCCTGACAGGTGCCATGCCTAATGTCTGGTATGACATTGCGTTTGCTAGTAGAGCCACTTCTGGCTTAGAAGCCAGATGGAGAGGCCAAACTTTGGCTAAGCCTGCATCTTGATGACATACCGGAATGTAGCCCTGGCTGGGTTGCATTCAGGGCAGCATTTCACAGCTGATATTCTGTGGCTTTAGGCTGGGAACCGAGGAACCATCCGGGGAGCGTCCCACTTCAGCGCCGAGGAGGATGCTCACAAACTCCGCAAGGCTATGAAAGGACTGGGTGAGTCGCTCTCCTTCCAGCAACGCTCATTCTTCCTGGAGCTCAGCTTAGCCGCCTGGCCTCTTCTCAGCCAGTGGCTCTCTGGCCTTGTCATGCTTCTTAAGCAGCTGGCACATCAAACAGGGAAGCTATTAGATCTGTTTCAAAGGGCATCGGACTTGGTGAATTAATAGGTTACTTTTTAGCATGACTGAAGAGGCTTTCCACCTTGCCAAGCGGAAGTTGTCTCTTAAAATAAACCACACTCAGGTGTGTCCCTCTGTGTAATGGGGACGGGAAGCTTATTTAGAGTTCCATAAAGCAAAGAGAAATGTGTTGGACTAGATCAGGGTTCTTCTGTTTCTCCTCCCACTGGCATGTCCTGTCATTAGCCTGACTCGAGCCTCAGATTGAGGCAGGCAAGAGTTGATACATGTGAAAATGGAGAAACAGTGGACTTTTAAAATGGATTTTTACAGGTATCTCCTTGCCCAGCCTGCAGGGAGCTCAGGGTCACATACTTGGCTCTCTTGCTCTCTCTCTCCCCCTGCTCGTTGACCCAGACAAAATTGCTGTTAAGTAGGCAAGGTTGAGGAAGAGCCTAGGTTTAATGCAACAGCAAGGGGCACCGCAAACGGTTTTCACAACCATGCCTGTTCCAATGGTCAACGTTCGTACGCAGCGCACATCATCAGCTAGCTAATGGATAGACCCTTACGAACGACCTCCCTGCCTTTTCCTCCTCTTGCACCAGGAACGGACGAAGATGCCATTATCGAAATTCTGGTCCACAGGAATCTGGCCCAACGGCAGGAGATCAAGATGACCTACAAAGCTTCTCTGGGCCGGGTAGGTCGCCTTGGTGCGAAATCTCATTTTCCATGCTTCTTGTTGTTAAAATTAAAAGCACTGTTCAGACACTGTTGCTTCTGTGAAGTGCTGGATAGCTTAGTGGTTGAGGTCTCTGGTTGTGGAGACTGGGAGTTTGATTCCCCCCCCCCCACTGGACCTCCTGGACTCAATGATCCATAGGGTCCCTTCCTGCTCTGCAGTTCTGAGATTATGATTAGTTTTTGTGATGTACTCATTTTGGAAATTCAGTGATAAATATTCAAAAGGAACATAGTGTTCTTTCGTAGAGACATCCTCATCTTTGGTCTAGATGAGCGGGATAAAAATTGAATAAACAAATAAAATAAATAAAATCTTTCTGGCTTGGTGAATTCCAGCCTCTTCTTCCTGAACGAAGGTCTAGCCTATGACTGCAGATTCTGGGACATGTTGCCATTTGCCCTCTTTGCCCATGGGAAGCCCTGGATAAACCTCTCCTCAAGATTCATAGACCCTTTGCAGGGGAAGCTGGCCAGCGACAAATTCTCCTCTGGAGAAGCAAAGGTCCTGCAGGGAGTTTCGCGTCTCAGCAGAAGAGATCTGACCCTGGTGATCTCCCAGATGCCCCACCCAGTCCCCTAAGCAACCTGTACCCACTGGTTCTTCTAGGGCTGGTCTTAATAATCCTGAACAATTGGAATTTCAAACTTATCTGTGCTGCCTTTGTTTAACTTATGCCTTATCTCCGAGATGGCCCAAAGCCTGCTTTGATGGTCCCCTTGGTGCACAATGGTCCATCTGATGCAACGTGTTCCTTTCTCTCCTAACAGGACCTAATTGATGACTTAAAATCTGAGCTAAGTGGGAAGTTTGAGAAGGTTATTGTTGGCCTGATGACGCCCATCACCCTGTACGACGTGGAGGAGCTGAAGAGAGCCATGAAGGTTTGCAAGCGCTTTCACAGAATGGCATGAGCGGAGCGGGCAGGGAGGACAGAACTTCTAGAGTAGCGGCCGAGCCGGTCCTTTTTCAATGAAACCAGAGAATTCTGTAGGGACTTAAAGATGATGTCCTCTTCATCAAATGCAGAGTTTAGGGGCAGAATGGTCTCTTTACTTTAGGACTGGTGATGGGAAACAGCTGTATCATAAAAATACAGAAGGCAGTCTAGGATCCGGAAGGAAGCCTGATGCAACACCTGGAATCGCTCCTCGTTCCTTTTTTCTGTCTCCACTACACCCTTTCCAAGTTCTCCTCCACAACCACAAGGGCTAGAAACACTGCTAGTTATGCACTAGTTTGCACTTATATCACAAGTCTACAAACAGGGACCTCTATCACAAGCAACTCATGCTTTTATTAAAAGGCCATAAATGGGCTGAGAAGTTGAGTTTAAACAACCACAGAGGGTGCATTCACTGCATAGTTAATGCTCGATATTTAAATGACTATTTTTAATGACCTTTCAGAAAGGACCATCTTCCCAAGACAGTTTGCACTACTCAGTAAACACCCTAGTAAAATTGTACAAGAACAGTATTAAAATGCTAAACCGTGATACCCTCTGCATTCTCAGTAATTTTTTCTCTGTGAGCTTGGTGTTTGTCTTGATCTTTAAATGTTGAAGATCATGGCAGGTGCCTGAAGATCCTGCTAGTGTTGGAACCAAACCAGTTGGGGTCTCTCTTTAGTAATGCTGTTTTATCTCCTGTTCCTTAGGGGGCCGGGACCGATGAAGGATGTCTGATAGAAATCTTGGCTTCCCGGAACAACATGGAAATCCGTCGGATTAACGAAACCTACAAACACCGTGCGTACGAAAAAGAAATGCTTCTGGGTTTCTTGGGTGATGGTCCTTCTCTCAACCCATCATCCACTTAAGAGCAGGGAATTTTTTTAAAAAGTCTGTCCGCCTTCTGCCACGTTTGTCTCAAACTGGACCCGGGCTCCATTTATTTGCCTTTAGATTCAATACGATAAGAGTGGCCACATGTCCTCTTTTAAGGTGAAAGAGTCCTCGAGTGGAAGGTCTAGCACAGGTCAATTCTCCTTTGAAGGCATCCTCCAAGATCAGGGACTTTTAAGTTTACTCATCATCCACAGAGAGAATCCAGACAGAAGACTTAGCAGGCACGCAGTTCACTTGGCCATAGGGCTTTCTCTGTTCAAGTGAGATGTGCTGTAATTCTATTTAAATTACAAAAATCCCTTTTAATTGTGCACCTATTAGAGAATCGTTGTGATGCAGTAGACAGGGCAAAGGATGTGGACTCTGGAGAGCTTGGTTCAAATCCCTGCTGAGCTGTGGAAACCCACAGGAGGCAAAGCGATGGTAAAGGCACTCCTTAAATACCTCACACAGCTTGGAAACCCTATTCAGGTCTTTGCATGTCAGATGTGATGGCAAATAACAACCACACACATTAATTTGGATGTTAGCCGTGTTTGTTTTTGTCTCTTTTTGGTGATGCATAAAAGGCCACTGTAGAATAGACCTGTGTAGTTTCTCGAGTTGTCATCACCTCTGCCCCGCTTTTTAAAAAAATAGAAAATAATACCTGTTTTCCTGGGCCTTCTCGACAGAGTATGGGACTAATCTTGAGGAAGATATAGTCTCCGACACGTCTTCCATGTTCCGGAGAGTTCTGGTATCCTTAGCAACAGTAAGTAATTCAACTTTGTCAGGCCTCAGTCAGCTCTCCCTATAATGTCCATCTTCTTTAGCATTTCTTCCAACTTCTTTGGCCCTTGGTTGGATTCCCTTCTAGTAGTTTGGCTACTCTGTTCACTGGACGAGACTTCATATAAATCCTCGGGGTTTCAGAGGAGGCTCCTACTGTGCCATCTGTATTTATACATACATCTTCTTTAGCATTTCTTCCAACTTCTTCGGCCCTCGGTTGGATTCCCTTCCACTAGTTTGGCCGCTGTGTTCAGCAGGAGGCTCCTACTGTGCCATCTGTATTTATACATATCCCCTAGGGTGTGTGTGTGTGTGGAGCTACTCCCTCAAACCTGTTTCTCTTCCTGCATCTCAGATTATTGATAGGCCCATGCTACCAATGAGCGGGTATCCTCTCTCCAGAGTCCTCTTTGGCCCATCTTGAAGTCTCTCACTCTTTTATGGGCCTCGCCTTCTCCTGCTTCCTACTGTGCCATCTGTATTTATACATATCCCCTAGGGTGTGTGTGTGTGTGGAGCTACTCCCTCAAACCTGTTTCTCTTCCTGCATCTCAGATTATTGATAGGCCCATGCTACCAATGAGCGGGTATCCTCTCTCCAGAGTCCTCTTTGGCCCATCTTGAAGTCTCTCACTCTTTTATGGGCCTCGCCTTCTCCTGCTTCCTCCTCCTTCACTGTCCACCCTGTGGGTGACTTCTCCCATATAAAGATTTGTTGTTCTCGTTGATCTCTATTGGGTCGAATTTAATCTGGGTCTTCTGTTCTCAGGGCAACAGAGATGAGAGCAACTATGTTGATGAAGGCCTGGCCCGGCAAGACGCCCAGGTTTGTATCACCTTGTGTTGTATAAGCGGGTGCTACTCTGTGCTCACTGCAGGTGTGGGGGAAGAGAAACTAGAGGATCAACTTATGCTGAAATCCACTTCTTTAGAGAAACTGGGCTGTTTCTGTGTCCAGTATGATGTAAACAACAAGCGACTTGGCTCAGGATTCTTATTGACTTCAGAGATGGGCAAGGGCTGGCCTTCCAGAGGTCAAGAACGGCTTTCCTGCTCTTCATACCACCTTAGCCAATGGTGAGGACTCAAGGAGGCATGGCCCCAAAGCAACTGGAATGCAAGAGAAGCACCCTGGATTGTAGGCACCTATGCCAGGGTCAACGTGGAAGAGCAGAGCCCTTTCACAACCATCCCCCCCAAGCCATCATCACCCCTGCCATCAAGTCGAGAAAAGGCCAACTGCTGGAATTTACAAATGAGCTTTTGTAAAGCTAAAGGCTCCTAATGGCCTGTTCAGGACCACCCTCAAAAATGTGGCATTGCAACAGAGAGAGCAGCAAAACTATACTGCTCCTGGAGAAAGTCCATTTCTTCCCCAGGTGCCTTGAGGATTGCAGCTAAATACCTAGAAAACTGGAAAGTGTGTGTGTCTGTGTGTGTTTTGTTTTTGGCATGTCTGTGGATGGTATCTGTTACTCAAAAAATCCTAAGTCTTTCACTCTGTGAGCCTGGAACAGCTACCCCATTGCTCTGTCCTGACCCCTCCAAAGTGGATGGCTGATCGTTTCTTCTCTTTCTGTTTAGGCCCTTTATGAAGCCGGGGAGCAAAGATGGGGGACGGACGAAGCCCAGTTCATGACCATCCTGTGTACAAGAAACAGAAGCCACCTGTTGAGGGGTGAGGTCCTGATTACTGTGCATTAATCACAACTGGGATTTTAAGACCAATTGACTGAATTTGCTCTGCTGTGGCCGATGTCTGTTGGGCATTTTTCTTCTCTGTCTCCTATTCAAGAGATAAAAATGCGAGGTCTGACTAAGTGGCCTCTCCTGCCAGTATAAATTTCCTGTTTTCCGCAAAGCAGTAAAATAGAAACTGACTTCTTTATCAACCTTTGTAGATTCAATGAACCATATCAATAGTATAACTGGAAAAGACAAAGATGCTTTTGGGGGGGGGAGTAGGAAAAGAGGAAGCTCCAGAATGAGATAAAGTGACTCCATAATAGAAACCATGTTTAAGTTGCAAGAGCTGAGCTGAGCCATTCAGGGTAGAGCTTGTGGAGGTCACTCAGTTATTGGGGTCTCATAACTCGGAGCAACTGGACAGCACAGCAAAAATGTCCCTTCTCTTTTCCAGTGTTTGATGAGTACACCAGGATTGCTGGCAAGGATATTACAGAAAGCATTAAATCTGAGATGTCGGGAGATCTTGAGGATGCCTTGTTAGCAATTGGTGAGTCTTTAATTTGAGCCGAGGACATCAAAACTGGACATGCAACCTTCTATCACTGTTCTGCCAGGGTAGCCTCTGTTTTAGATTGTTTAGTGCAAGCTCCGGACATACTCAGAAGGGCTTCTCCCGGGTTCTTCTGACTTCATCCTGCTCTCCTTCCAAGGAGGCCAGTAATGAAGATATTAAAACCCTGTTTGATCCTCCCAGCAATGAGATGCTGCGGGTGCTGCTGCTGCAGGGTCACTTGGAGAATCATAGTTTGCAAGCAGGACGTCCAAAGAGAAGTCTCCTATCCTGTGAGCTTGCCCCATTCCTTAAGAGCCTGACTCTCCTCGTTCCCAATGATGGTGGAGATCGAAGGCATGGGGGCATTTGGGGACGTCTTGACTTTGGCTCTGCACAGGGTTTTGAGTCTTTCAGTCTATAGGAGACCTCCTATCATTTTACACATACCGGTCCAGTGGAATTCCAATTGACAGTGTATACATTTTCTTCAGTAGCTGCAGTAGAAGTTGCCATATTGGCCAGAATCCTACCAGTGTCCTTGCAAAGATTTTCTGTAACTTGCCTCAGCCAATTAACAGGCTGGGCAGAGCATGTCTTGATGTGCAACTGGACGCATGCTCAACCACCTCATCTATTAACTGCAATTAGCCTCTGCCGTTTACCAAAACTTTATGTCAACACCAGCAGGGTTCTTGGCATTGTCCTTATTCTATAATCATCTTCATCTTAGAATTTGCACAGCCGGAAGGGATCCTTGATGGATCATGGAGTCCAGCCCTTGTCAAGGAGGCCTGGGGGAGGAGGGGGAATCAAACTCCCAACCTCTGGTTCCGCAGCCAGATCTGCCTTGAACCCCTGAGCGACCCAACAGTTCTCCCTCGCTGATCTGTGGGAGGGATCTTGGTTTGGTCCTCCACAGTCTACCTCTGAGTCCCCAGCCCAGGAGAGGAGGTTGTTTCTACGGTGCCTCTGTTTTTCTAACTTTTTTGCAGCGTATCAGCAAACACCCCTCCTTCCACATTGTGTCTCGGACAAAAATTCCATCCTTTATTTAAGCTGCCAGAAATGTCATTCTCCTCTTAAAAGAAGGGGTGAGGCCATCACACTTCAGCGCAGAAACGCAGCTTAGAGACACCCAGAAGGGTTTCATCTCTGCTGGATTGCACAATAGGGTGAGACCCACGGAAGGATACACGGGGCTCAGGAAATTGGCCCCACGGCCCTGCCAAAGTCGCTCTCTGGGAACCTCGATAGTGGCTGCTGTCGATGCAGCTGGCACAGAAAACGGAAGGGCCTCCGCCTTGGTCAAGCTCAATCTATAAAGAACACGTTGTCGTAACTGTGCCGTCTCTCTGTGGTTTGCTTGCTGGAGAGATCAGAACCCTTGATAAATGGATTTCGCCTGGTTATAACTTATTTCTTGTTTTTCTAACTTCACATTTGTTTACTCCTCGCAGTAAAATGCATGAGAAATAAGACGGCCTATTTCGCTGAAAGGCTCTACAAGTCCATGAAGGTAAGGAGTCGTCAAAAGGCTGCCCCTCTGCCTGCCGTTGTCCTTAAAATGTCAACACGAAACCATGTTTTACTGCAAGGCACAAACTACATGCCCCACTTCAGCTTCCAACGCTCTGCTCCTGACGTTCCCAAATCCTGCAGCTTGAAATCCTGGTCTCTTATTTGTGGGGTAAAATAGTTTAGGCATGAGCTCTTAAGAATGTATTCTCCAAATTTAAATAGTCATGTTTATGACACAATGGGGGAAGCTTTAGAGGCCATCATCATAGGCCACTGGATCAAGGGGTATATGGGTGGGTGATTGGAAATTGCAGAACAGTGAGAGAGGGAACTTACAAAATGAGGTGGGCAACGGGAGGGCCAGATGCAGCCTCCTTTGGAACCCCAACGTAGCACCTCTGCCACTCCAAGTCCCCATATACTTCCTAGGAATTGATGGGGAGGAGCTACGGCACCATGTTTTGGGCTCCCCAACCACTCCCTTCTGGGCAGGCAAAAGATATGATCTGCCACTCTGCCGCCGGTCTTCTGCAGCAGTAGGATTAAAGCAGCGGTCCCCGACCTTTTGGGGGCTGCGGATCGGCTGGGGGAAGCAAGCTCCATGCATGGGGGGCAGGGGCACATTGCACAGGCATGACACCCCCCCCATGCAAGTGTGACACGGCCACCACCCATGTAGGCGGGGGGGGGGAACGACGGAGATCCTTATCTGCGGTCCAGTTCCGGCAAGCCCATGAACTGACACCGGACCCCTTGATTAAAGCACGATGAGCGGTAAATGTGTCATATACCATGAAGTGCAGGAAACCAGAACCTTTGTGTTTTGTAAGGCACAGGCTGTTACAGCTAATCGCACAAAGGCGAACAGGGAGAGAAGTGCAGGAAGGGAAGAACTGGCTGAAACACAGTCGAGAGTGGTGTGGGAGCAGCGTCAACCTCTTGGGATTCAGTTATTCAAAGTCGAGATGGTCCAAGACGGCGTCTGGCCTCTGGCCATCCATCAAAACCCTCCCTTGTCAGGTTCCTATGTTCCTTTGCCCAGTGGGGCAAAGCATCTGGTTTATAAATTCTCTTCCCACCCACCCCCACCCTTCCTCTAGGGTTTAGGGACCGATGATGACACGCTCATCCGAGTGATGGTGTCCCGTTGCGAGATTGACATGATTGATATTAAGGCAGAGTTCAAGCGGATGTACGGGAAATCTCTCTACTCCTTCATTAAGGTGAGCTTGCAATTAATTCTTGCACAGCCTTGTTTGTGGGACTTCAGGGTGAGGGCAGAGGCAGCTGGGCTGCCAGAGCACAAAACAGATAAAACAAGCTCGTGGGGCTTCGGACACAGCTGTGCTTTTTTTGAGGGGGGAGGGTGTTCCACTCATTGCAGGGACCTTGGGCTACAGAATTTGCCACAAAAGAATTTCAGAAGGCTGAGTTGACCACGGTCAACTCAACGTTTGACTTCTGCTGAGAAACGGATCTATTACAGCAACAGAAAATCAGGAAAGAGACCATCTTAATTTTTAAAAAGCAAAATAAGACCCCTAACGGCAGCTTGCTTGCTCTCTTCCAGGGAGACACTTCAGGGGACTACAGGAAGGTCCTACTCCATCTCTGCGGTGGGGAAGACTAAAAACCCAAGCTAAACTTCTGCCTTACTCCACAGTCCAGGCTGCGCATCTGGCACTCCCTGAAAGAAATCCTCAAGGAGTAATGCTTCTACGGGTCTCGAAAAGGCGCCACGAATGCATTGTGCTAACACTGATTTTGCTTGCTAGAATTGCTGTTTAAATACATTTGAAAAGAATTTAGCATTGCTTGGGACTAGGGGCCTCAAAGGCAATACAGAATCAACACTAGCATTTTTTCGAATTATTTTTGTATCCTGCTTTCAGCTCTGCAGAAAGGTTTCTTACTAAAAATTGGGGAGTTTTGAGTCTCTTGCATCTCCTTTTAAGTGGGATGAATTCCCCACACATTTCAGTTTTGATGGGATTGCAACCAGCCGCCTTCTGCTATCCGTGCAGCCGAATGACAAAACCAGCCTTTGTTATTCTGCCTCCACTTGGCCCTACAATAATTGCTATCTTGATCGCATCTGACCCCTCACGGGTCCTGACTCCTACATCCCGTTCCCCAAAGAGGAAAACTAGTCCAATGAGGTTCAGAGCTAGACGACTGGACCGAGAGAAGGATCTTAATTTGCACACTTGACATTGACACGGGAACTCAGGCTGCTTGGATAGACATTTTGGAGGCTGTGCCAATTATGGAAATTCAGGCAGATTTACCTTTGCCTGGGGTTTTGTTAGTGGAGTGGGCATAGTTTCCCACTTGTGTTGAGTAACTCATGTTGCTTCCTATGATGCAGTCATTAACAGCAGGTTCAGCCAGATGGAAAGGACGCCACCTTCTATCCAATTTTTAGAAGGTTAAGAGAACCTGAAATGGGATGGGAGATGCTTTTAGGGGATGACGTCCCTCCTGCTCCAGGGTTAGGCAGCAGGCTGCTGGCCAATGGTTATTCCCCAAAGGAGAAAAATTCTATCACCTCTATGAAATCTTATGCGTGCAGAGCAGATCACATATATCCACCTGCTAAAGTAACATGTGTATAATTATGCTTAAGCTGGAAATGATGTCATTGTGCTGGAAAATGCTTCAAATATTCTACTACTGCAAGGTATTGGGCATTCAAAAGCTGTAATTTCTCTTGTTTACATACACTCAGCTGACAACAGAAACCCTTTTGTGCCTTTCTTACAATGTATGAGAAGTGAAGATGGGCGGAAAAAAGTGAGACATATGAGTGATGGATTTTTTAAAAAATTAAAGTTGTGTGTCTAACTTCTCCTTCCAAAATCATTTCAAATTAACTGCCTTCTGATGCTGCCATTAGCAGAGTACCCTTCCAAATATTTGTGTGTTTTTGTTTTTCAGAAGAAAAGCCCATATTCTTAGCAAAGACTTGCAGTGGGAACACTTTAGACTTTCCCATCATGTTTGCATGAATATTATGTTTCTCCAAATAAGTTTTGCTTTGGGCCAAGTGTAAAAATGACAAGTGTCCTGAACCAGAACTGCCTCAGGTGCCAAACCAAACTGCCGGCTGAACAGGAAATGTCCCGTCCATACGGCAACAGCGCAGGACAAACGGTTGTGAATCCACTGCTTAATGCAGGAGAAAACGCCTCCTGATCCAGTGGGTAGACAAAAAGCCTGTGGGGGGGGGGGAGTTTGAAAATGGCACCATACTTCCTACTTTGATAAAACCCAGATATCTTTGCTGCAAGTCTTGCTTTTAAATGGCGAGCCCACGGCCTCTCAGTGCAACAAAAATAAACTACAACCAATGTAATGTGACCCCTGAAAGCTTTTACCTCTGGGAGCCTCCACAGCAAAACTTGCCCGCTCACATGACACACTGAGGAAATCCATGTCCTTCATCACAGAGCAAACCTCCCCAGTGCTGCACACCCACCAAAGCCATTCCCTCGAGAACCCAATGGAATACGAGCAAGTCCCAGGGGCCGATAGGTGGGTTTGGCCTGTTTGTTTGCTCCCTCTCTCTGCCCCCCCTCCATCTCACCTGGGAGGAATCTGCCCCCAACTGGCCTCTCTCTCTGGAGGTCCCTCGGAGATCCCCAGGGGTGCCCCCGCCACCATGCTCCAGGCCGAAACAATCCAGACAGCAAGGCTTTTCTTTGGAAGATTATTTCACTTGGCAATAAATACCAGGGAGGCAGGCCGAAGGCAGGGCTCTCTAGTCCATTGCTTGCTCCTCCTGGCAAGGCGGGGGGCTGCCGCCCCTCCCACACGGCTCAGGCACGTGAGGGTCATAGGTCCACTTGGGGAACACCCGCTTGTAGAGGGTCATCAGCACCGTGTCCTGGGATTTCAGCTGCCCGTCAAACTGGCACTTCATGTGGCCGTGGGTCCCTGGCAGCAAAGGAGAAGGAGGTGGGAGACGTGAGTGGGTGGGTTTAAATGCCACAAAGGGAAGAGCATCCTGGCGGCTGGGCTGTCCTCCCCTGGGTGTCCCCTCACCCCGTTCAAGGGCCCGGCCCCACTTACCCAGGGGCTCCTTGATGTGCCCCCGCCGACCCCACTTGGTCCGGAGCTCAACAGGTTTGAACCACAGCACGTCCTCTGTGGGGGTGAGACAAGGAAGAGTGAATGGGAGGGGAGCGGGAGGAGCTGCATATTTTCGTTTATGCCCCAGCGCTTGGGTTCAGGCCGAGACAACAATGTTCTCCAGGCCTCGGGTGCTCACTGGGCAGGGCAGTGCCTGCGACCCCATCGGTTCCGAGGCTTCCACAAGCAGAGGAGCCTTGGAGTGGGGCGCCGAGCCAGTCCAGAGACCCACGTTGCCATGTATTCTCCCACCACTGTGGTTGACCTCCCAGTACGCGAAAGCAAAGGGGGCGGTGGCTGGACCCAACAAGCCCGGCCTCGGCACCTGGAGACCAGCTGGGCACTGTCGGGTTCCTCTGTTATCCCAGGACAAAGCTCCGAGGTTCTCCTGAAACCATGCTGACGCCCTGAACAACCATTCTTTAAAACAAAGTGACTTCCCTCAAACAGGCTGAGGGTTAGGGAGGTTTAAATGGGTAACCAGCTTGCCCTAGAGCGCCGGGTCTCTACCTTGGGTCCCCCCAGATGGTCTTGGACTACAGCTCCCAGAAACCCCAGCCAGCACAGCTGGTGGTGGCGGCTTCAGGGTGCTTTAGTCCAAGAAGACCTGGGTTACCCAAGGTTGGGAGCTATTGCCCTGGAGTCTTCTGGGGACGCGACTGGCCATTTCTACACCAAAGTCTCTGTTCAGGGTGGAGGGCGCCGTCCCCTGGAGCTCCAAAGGGCAGGCAAGGATCGCCCCCAACGTTGTCCACTCCTGCACCACACCGTGCAGTCTCTCTCCTTATGCAGCCAGCTTGCCACCTAAAGGATGAGCCTCTTAGAGCAGCAGGCAGACGCAGGGATCCCGGTTGCCAACGGATCTGTGACAACTGCGCTGGCTGGTCAATCGGGCCCTGCTCTGCTCAGAAGCATCCCAGTCCCCCTACCTCTGTTGAAGAACATGTAGCGCACAACAGCCAGCTTCCTATGGATCTTGAACGGGTGGCCACTGAGCACCGCCCGCTTGATGACCAGCCTGTTGGGGTCTACGCTGAGCAAGGAGCCTGTGGCCAGGAGGCTGTGCGCTCCTGGAAAAGAAGACAAGGGAACAGGTCAATGTTGGTTCCAGAGAGGCTAACAGGTTATTTTGATTTCTGCAGGACCCAGCCCACAGTTCTGTTCCCCTGTGGCAAATTCAGGCTTCAGGCCACTCTCTCCCCGTCCTTGCACCTCGTCTTTCTACTCAGAGGGCATGACGATACAGACAACAGTTTAACTCAACAAGGCCGGACCATGGCGATCCAGCAGCATCCACACTATTCGCTAGAAATGGCAGCAGCGCCCCCACAAAACCCATTGAAAGCTTTCGTGGCGAAGTGGGATCCAGGCTTGTTAAAGCGTTCCACCCTCTGTGGCCCCAAGGAGAAGGCCCTGCCTCCCTCTCTACCCTTATCCCTTTGTACCAGGAAGGCCGGCAGGGCAAAGCCTGGCAGAACGAGTAGGTCAGTGAGATGCTCCCGGGAGCCATCTGCCCATTCTGACCTGGGCATATGCAGCCGCAGAAGAACTGAAGAAGACACAGGCAGGGGCTGGAGCAGCTCCACAGCAAGAGAAGGCCAAGGCTCACCCACCCAAGTGGCGCTCCCCCAATCCCGAACTCACCGTCACTTTTCTGTCTGAAGAGCAGCACGGCAGCAGGTGGGAAAGTGATGGGGGCGTAGATGGTGGCCACCACGGCAGCGTCGGGTCGCAGAAACTTCTCCAGCTTGTGTTTGTTCGCTGGGGGTGGGGTGGGGGGAACAGACATTAAGCGAAGTACTGCTCCTGCTCTCAGACCATCTTTGTTCTCAAACTTACCATATTAAAAGACTTGACATTTTTTTAAAAAAAGGAATTAGACAGGTGGGGGGGAAAGAGAGTGAGAGAAAACAAGAATGAAACTGTCTCAGGCAGCAGCTCTTAATGCTTTCAATGCTATTAAGTGCCAAGAGAGCCCAAATGGTGCAGGGTTGCACCAAGGGCCTCAGGAGACCAGCGTTCAAACCCCTGCCTGGCCACAGGAACTGCTGTGTTCGGGAGGGGGGGAGCACCCACCTGAGGTGTGCTGAGAGTAGAGTGGGGAAGCCCGGAAGCGTCGGAATCCACAGTGGACGATCACTTCCTCCTTAGACTGGATGGGCTCGCTGTGACCAGGGTGGCGTCTCACCAGGAGGTTCAGCACAGACATCTGCAGGCCACGAAGGAAGTACAGAATCTCAGGAGGCCTGGCCGTATCTCAGGAGCCCGGCTCACACCCAGTGCTGTCCCGAGAAAGGCCTCAGATCGCCATGGGAGGGACCCCAGGCCCGCAGGGAAGGGTCACTGGCTTCCATGGCCCCCAAGTGACCAAAGCAGCTGAACTGGCCCCTTTCCGAAAGAAAGAAAACGTGCTTCAGCTCCTTTCCCTCGGATTCACCTTCTGCTCGTAGGGAAGCAACGTGAAGAGCACCAGAGGACGCCCCTGCTGGAAATGCTCCATGACAGAGACGGGGACGTTGCAGACGTGAAGCGTGACGTACCACCCGACCTGTGGGAAAGGCAGGCAGGAGAATTAAAAGGCCAACTGAGATGGTTTAAATGCATTCAATCCCACAGCCATAAAGATCAAGCTTTCGTTCCGTTATACTGTCTGACAGAGAGCCCCCAAAACACCTATTGAAGTACAGAATCAAGACAGTAAATTCTGCAGCACAAATTCATCACTAAAAGAAGACACGCATGAACAGATTCCGTGACCTCACGATGGGTCAGGCCAGGGTTCCCTCCAGCTCAGTATAATCCACGTAGCAACCAGCTTTGAAGGGACAAATGTCCACGCAGAGGCACTCACGTGGCAGAGGTACCCGAAATCTTGCTTGGCCTCCCAAATTTTAGAGACTTTCATCTGATCCTTTCAAACCTGCCTGTGAAGCTTTTCTGCTTAACCCCTTGTACAAAGGCTCAAGGAGCTGAACTTCGCACATAACCCACTCACGGAGCAGTGAGAGAGAACCTGCTTAGAAGCCTGGCGAGCGTGTGGGTTTGGCCTCGCTGGCTGAGGAGGTTTCTGCTTCCCCTGAGAACCAAGGAATGCCATGGGCCTCGGTCCCTCTTGCCTTCCTTGCCCTTTGGGATTCACACTAGGGAGCCGGGACGCCTCGGCCAGCAGACTCCCCACATGCCCTCCAACCCTGCTTCCTCCCCCCACAGACACACACACCAGGAAATGGGACTGACCTCGGCTCCTTCGTACTCCTCTCGCTCCAGTTGCCGGAGGAGGTGCTTCTGCATCCGGGAGAAGTTCTGGAACTGGAAGATCCGGGCGTAGTCCCTGGGCAGGTTCTCTTTGGGGTCCCAGGGGGAGGACCGGAAGCTCTTCAAGCCCCTGTACTTTTGGAACCTGCAAGGCAAGTGGGGTTAACTCTCCAAGAGAGCGCTGGCTTCCTGCTGCCTTCCGGGTTACCCTCCACGGAGCGGCTGTTTCCTTCCCTGCGATCCAGTACACCCCACGGCCAGGAAAACTCCCACCGCTACGAAGGCACCTCTCTTTCCATGGGCAGAAAGGCTGATCTCATCAGGCCTCGAGAGCTGTCCCAGCCTGGGGCAAACTGAACAGGCCGCTCGGGCGGCAGGGAGATCCTGTACCCGATTCCTAGCCACGCCTCCACTTACCGGATCCGGGCCGCCACATCCCGGGGGGTGTCGACCTCATCAGGAAACATCTCCTCCTGCCGCTGCTGCCTGTACTTTTCCAGCATGGCCTCCTCTTCCTCCATCTCCTCCTCCTGCTCCATTTCTGGGAGCGTCATGGTCTCACCTTCTTCATCCTCCGAGGCAGCTTCCTCTTCCTCGCTGGCACTCCCGTCCTGGAACACAGAAACAGCCACCGGTGTGAGTTTTGGAGGAACCAGTATTTAGGGAACGAGCGCAGGACACAACCCTAAAGGACACTGAAATGTCGAGGTCTTAAACTCCACCATGAAACTCTTTTGCTAAAAAACAAACCCCAACAACAACACATGCCTAGGGGAATCCCAGTGGGCAGGCAGGAGGGGACGCCAAAGTCCAGTTTGGAAAAAACAACAACAACACATGCCTAGGGGAATCCCAGCGGTCAGCCAGGAGGGGACGCCAAAGTCCAGTTAGGAAAAAACAAACAAACAAAAAAACTCCCAGGCGCATCGGCCTCTCTGCCTTGGCCTCTCCACCTTTCCAGCAACGTTCTTCCAACGATAGTCTCTCTCAGGGCTACTTCTATACCCACTCCTCAACTTGCAGCCACAAATCCACCATGGCAACGACATTGGTTCCTGGTTCCCCAAGCAGAGCCTGCCTCTTCTCCCGAGACACCGGAACCCCCTTGTCCTTTGGAGAAGGGAAGAGACCCCAGGCGGTGGTCCTCTTGCCTCCCTGCCTCCAAACCCCAAAGAGACACCTGACTTCTTCTCTTGAGCACATACCCAACGACTCTTGGACCGGGGAAAGGGCGGTGGTGTCTGAGCCCAATTTCTGCGGGGCTTGGCACATCCATACCCCTCGCTACACACCACTTCCTGGAGAATGGCACCTCCGTTCGATAACGTCTGCAACTCTGTACCATAAAGACCTTCAGGAGGTCCTTTTTCTTTGAGCTGCAGAATTTCTAGGCAGCAACCATGGAGTGAGAGCGCTAGAGCCACTACCTGGGACATGGCCTCTTCTGCCAAAGCCTTGTTCTCTGCTTCCTCCTCCTCTTCCTCCTCGCTACCATTCTGAGACTCCTCCTCGTCCAAGATCCAGGCTGCCTGGTAGGCGGAAGTGCCTTTAGGGACTTTCTTGGTTGTCTTTTTCTTTTGCTCAAGAGACTCTGTGAGAAGAGGGAGAAGAGGAATGACTTCATGCCGAACACAGAAATGCTCTCCCAAAATCAGGTTTTCAACCTAACCCAGGCAAAGTGGGGGTTGAAATCTCTACCGCAGCTCTGAGAAAACAGTGCTGAGGGGCTTAGAAAGGGCTGAAAACAGCTGAGAGCATCCCTTCCAGCGGTTATCTTAGACTGACCCTCCGCCTCCCTCAGCTCCTCCTCGGTGGGCCAGGTCTGTTCTCCGTCCATGGGATCCAGCTCCGCTTCCGATTGCAACGATTCTCGCTTGCTGGGATCTGCTTTGCACAGCACCTGCACGTCAGCTTCCATCTCATCGAGAGGCGCAATGCAGTCATCCTAGGGACCAGGTCAGAGATGGTTACACCTTAACAGGCAGAAAAGCTGCATTCTTCCCCAAGCAGTCCTTGGAGGCAGCATCCTGGCACCCTCTAGCCCAGCAAAGGAACTCACGTGGGTCTCCATGCTCCCCGGATACCTTGTGGGGAGCCTGGGGTTCAATGAAAGAGGCTCACGCGGGGCATCTATCTGGCTCATCTGGAAGTCCCCATGTCCCACGATGTGCACCAGGCTGTTCACTTTCAGGCTCTGCCCTCTCACGTAGCCAGACACCTTCAGCGTCCCCACCAAGGTGCTGTCTGAGCCAGACACGAACTCGGCAGCCTCCGCCAGCAGATGGGCCCGCCGGTCCCGAAAAGCCAGGTGCCGCTGCTTCTGGTCGGCAAGGTGCTGCAGCAGCAGAGCAGACTCCTGCTCTGTGTTGAGGGGAAAGAGCTTGGTCTCCGGAAACCTCTTCTCAATGGCCTTGCTCAGCTTCTTCCGGCAGTCAAGTTGCTTTTTCAAGGGCTGGTCAGTTAGACCCTGGACTGCAAGGCCTGAAGGTGCAAAAAAGAGGCAGCAGTGGCTCAGCAGGGCCAAATCTAGGAGACCTGCATGGCTCCCAATGCAAGACAGGCTGAATAGACAAGAATGCAGCAGGCATTATGCAAAGCCACAATACCCTTTACCCCTGTTTTTCTTTTCAGTTCCAATACATCCAAGATCTTTTATATAAGCATAAGGGCACACAAGGGAAATGGTGGTCAGTTAAACCTAAAATTTATGGCATCCGGCTTCTTTTCCCACTAAGATCAACCAAGCGTATCTAGGGAGAATGAGAATTTTATCTGAGAAAATGATGGTGATCCATACAGGGGCTGTGAGAACTGAAGTTGCTGGTTTGCAAAAATGCTCAAAGACCCCCTTTCTGCGGATATTTAGTCAGAATATGGGCAGTAGCACTGATAGAGAAACTAACTACTTTAGACTGATTAGAGAAGAAACAAAATAAGACAATTGCATTAAGATTGGGTACCCTTTGTTGGTTTTCAGTTTGGATTCAAACAGAGAGGGTGAGCTTTTGAAAAGCTCGTGGCTGGCATTTTGGTGTCCCTGCCTTTTAAGTTCTATAGACTGCCAGGGTTGATGAGCTGTAAGATAGGCTATATTGTTCACAGAGATAAATTTGCTGTTGGGTATGTGAATGTATGCTTATAAATCTTGCATCATAACCCCTTTTGTTGTCTTCATGATTTTTCTTTCCCCATAGACTGCAGATATAAAGAATAAACAGAGAGAGTTTCTTTACTTTTCTCTGTGTCCTGAACCTGGCTCGTTGCCGCCCACCTAGCAAGTCTGAACTCCAAACATTTCCCCAGGAACGGCTGACCCCTTTTCCATCTGATTCCTGCTTTCCAGTTTGCAGTAGAGATTTTCTGCCCTGTGGGGAATTCAAAAGTGTAGCTGCATTTCATCCCACACTCACCGTAGCTGGGGAGGCCCTGGGCAAAGATGCAGGAAAGGCAGTAATCACCAGCCACATCCCAGCCCTCAAGAGGATCCAGCATGAAAAGGAGTGAATCAGCCACCTTGGCAAGGTCCAGCATGGTGTGAAGGTTTCCTGGGAGACAAGAAGGGCACAGGTAAGGGCGGAACAACAACACCCGGCTGGAAGAATGGCATGAGAGATGAGCGGCACCCTTACCTGTATCAGCCACCACAAAACGCCACCGCAGCTTGGAGCGGGGACACAGCAAGGCAAAGCCAGGTGGGCCCGTTTCAGTTTGGTACACAGCAGAAGCCTTGCTGCTCCGAAACAGGCTCAAGGCACTCTGGGGAGTGACGCTGGAGTGCAGCGGCACCACCACCACCAGGTGTGGGGGTGCGTCCTTGCGCCCCAGTTTCCTCTTCTCTTCCAATACCTGTGATCACAAAGAGAAAGGTTTGGGGGGTCCTCCTTTGACCCCCCCGCCTTGTGCCGGCAGGAAGCCGCCGACCCTGCCTCGCCAACTCACCACCTCCTTGCGCTGCTGGCGGAGTTGCCAGGCCCGGTGCTTGCGGTCCTGCTTGGCCAGGTTGCGACGCTGCTGCTTGCTCAGGGTCTTGGCGGGGACCCGGCCTGCGGGGCAGAGAGGAAAAGAGTGCGCTATAGATGGAGAGGATCCTGGCTCTCAGCGCCGTGAATGCTGTTCTGTTCGCAGGTGGTGAAACACAGGCTAGCGAGATCTTAGGTTGTTCTTGTTTAGTCGTGTCTGAATTAAAAGAGGAAGAATCCCCTGACTGGTGCTCTGGACCTTTTTCCTTCTTTTGCTTTAAGCTACAGCTCTTCTCATACTGTTTCTTGAGAGAAAGGCAGCCCAGGAATGAAGCACAGGGAATAAACAATTAAAAGGGGGGGAGTGGGGGGGGCTTTCCTGCTGGAAGCTCAGGCCCAATGCCTGGGATAGACTGCCGCTGAACAGAGAGGCTCGACCGGAGGGAAGGTGACCCCTCCCTCCTCCTCAACCCCACACCCTAAAAGCAGGCCTGTGGGCCCGCTCCTCACTTGCATAGATTTGCATGAAGTCTTCCTTCCCTCCCTCCCTCCTTCCCTCCCTCCCCCCTCCGGTCCCCCATGATGCCAAGGCGCTCACCGCCCTCCCTCCCGGCGTTGCTCCCGCGGGG